CCCTGGGAGCAGCCCCCCCCACCTCGCCAGCCCAGGCCAGTTAGACCCACCCGGGGGCAGCCCCCCTTCCACTAGCCCAGGACAGTGAGACCCACCCTGGGGGCAGCCCCACCCCCACTAGCCCAGGCCACAGTCCCTGCAGACCCTGCGGCCCTTTGGCTACAAAGAACAACATCAAGTCCTTCTCCCCTCACTGCCACCTCCAAGGGCTTCCCGTCCTGTGGAAGGAGAACAGGCATTAAATACTGAGCGCTCCTAGAGCACATGGTAGTTACGGAAAGTGACCCTGACACTGAGATGGGGTGAGGCCAGGACAGGCCGGGTGTCAAGTGGAAGGAAGTACACAGACAGCAGCCTCAAGGCCTCCGGTGGCAGCTGAAACCACGAGTGGAAAGCTTGGCCGGGCCGACTGTGTTCACCGGTGCCAGCAAGAGCCTCCCCCGGACACACCCTGCGCGTCCGCCTGCTGGGAGGGTCCACGCAGCTCCCAACACGCTGCAGCCGCTCCCATGACCCAAGCAGGGCCTTGGTCTGTGTCACAGAGCGACAGGCACGCTCCCGTTTCAGTGCTGCCTCCTATTCTGACTGCCCACCTTCCTCCAAGTGTAAGTACAGCCAACAGCCCCTCACCACTAGCACCACTAGACTGCCTTGGCCCGTGAACATGTGAACTACTGGTGCCTCGGTTCTCGCCGCGGTGAAGAGGGAAGAGGGGTGCTGCCATGCACAGCACAGGCCCACTCAGAAGCTGGCTGCCTCCCTGTCCCATCACAGCGCCGCCCGCGGCCTCACACAGCCCGGCACGCTCCTCGCTCCGCGCACCCACCCTCCCTGACTCGGCGCCCAGGGCGACCACAGACCTTACCCACTGGCTCCTTCTCAGGCTCCAGGCTCACAGCACGGGCTTCTGGAAGCTGCCCAGGCCCCACCTCCACCTCGAGCTCACAGAGCACACACACAGCCCTTTCCCTGCCATGTCCTGGCCCCCTAGACTGAGCTCCGGAAGGGCAGGGCCTTCCACGTTGGTCGCCCCTGCACCCTGCAGTGTCCAGCGCAGGCCCTGGAGCGAGGTGCCCCTCCAGCGCTGAAGGAAGGCATGACGGAGAATGGGCCCTCAGGTTCCTTAGTGAGCAGTTGTCACTTAGCTTTGAGTGTCTATTAATATCAACCTCTGTTTAAGAAACCATAGCAATGGGACTCGTTCCCCTTCCCCACGAGGGAGTTGGTCCTTGTTCGTCAATAAATCTCCACCCTTGCTATAAAAAAAGAAAGAAACCATAGTAATAATAAGGAAATATTAAAGGGAAAATTAACTTCTAATTCCATTTAAGAAGAGTCAACTCACCCAGCCATCGTGGCTCAGTGGTTGAGCATCGAACTATGAACCAGGAGGTCACAGTTCAATTCCCGGTCAGGGCACAGGCCCGGTTGCAGACTCCATCCCAGTGTGGAGTGTGCAGGAGGCAGCCGATCAATGATTCTCTCTCATCATTGATGTTTCCATCTCTCTCTCTCCCTCTCCCATCCTCTCTGAAAGCAATAAAAATATATTTTTTAAAGAAGACTCAACTCTCATTGTATTCAGCTCCACAAAAGTAGACAAATTTACGAGAGAAACAAAGTAAATTATGTATACAGAATCCCTACCACTATTTTACACTCAAAGTAGGTCAGTAGAAAAACTAATTTATTTATATCAAATTTGAAATTTTACTGTTAGTTAGCATTTGGGAAGAGAGACTTAGCAATAGAGCCAATAGAATAAAATACATTTTAAAGTAAATTCCAACCGATTTCAGCAGGGCAGTGGGGGAGATCATCTGGATTATCTGGGTGGGCCCCACACCTCAGGACAAGTGTCCTTACACAAGAGGCGGAGGAGAGTTGAGACAGAAGAGGAGCCATGTGGCCCCGAGGCAGAGCCTGGAGGATGTGGCCACAGGCCAGGGGATGCCAGCAGCACAAGGAGCTGGAGGAGAGACAGGTTCCTCCCTGGAGCCTCTGGAGGGAGTGAGGCCAACACACGCCTCGATCTCCAACATCTGGCCTCCAGAACTGTGAGAAGATACATTTCTACAGGTTTAAGCCACTAAATTTGAGGTGCTTGCTTATGGCAATCACAGGAATGTAATACAATTACTCACTTAAATCAGGGCTCCCTCAAATAGTAAAAAGGTGTGTTCTAATTGTCAGTGGATCTCAAATCAAGAGATAGATACATAAAGCTTTTAAAATCCCCAAGCAATAAATGGCGAAGGAGGTACCCAGTTGAGTTTCAGTATTAATGAGTTTCTTGAAGAACCTAAAAAGATAAATGAGAAACAGCAATTTTAGCAATAGTCGTTGAAATGTTCTTCTGTCTCAAAGATGCATGTGAGAATAAAGGAGTGAAATTAGGGAGAACAGAACGTTTACCTAAAATCCAGTGGGACCACCAAGTGCACTGTTGGAAGAAGGGTTACCTGACAAGCACAGATCATGAACTTCAAGGACCCAGTTGTTTTCAGCTTTAAGAATTCCCCAGGCTGCCTGGCTGGTGTGGCTCAGTGGTTGAGTATCAGTCCATGAACCAAGAGGTCACCGGTTTAATTCCTAGTCACGGCTCATGCCCGATTGCAGGCTCCATCCCCAGTAGGGGGTGTGCAGGAGGCAGCAGATAGATGTTCCTCTCTCATTTGTGTTTCATCTCTCTATCCTTCTCATTTCCTTTCTCTAAAATAATCAATAAAAACATATTTTAAAAAACAAGCAAAGAGCAAATTCCATGCATAGAAAACACTGTCACAACTATTACAAAGCATTTATTTTTTTATACTCATAACTTAAAAGCATTAAAATGCTATTCTTTAAGAATCTAATTTGAAAATACTTCTGCAATGTATATAATTTAATGGTGAACTTCCTTTCATTAAAAAACTTAAATGAAAGAGTTCACATTCTTTTATACAGAACAAACAAGAGGATCATCACTGGCCTCGCAATGAAAGCTGATGAACAATCCAAGTAAAAAAAAAAACACTTAGCAAAACAAGAAAAACAAGCTAAATTTTTAAAAAGATTTTTTATTGATTTCTAGAGACAGAGGAAGAGAGAGAAACATCAATGTGAGAGGGAAACATTGATCAGCTACCTCCTGCCCCCACTGGGCATTGAGCCTGCAATCTGGGCACGTGCCCTGACCAGGAATCGAACTGGCAACCTTTCAGTGCATGGGACAATATACAGACAACTGAGCCACACGGGCCAGAGCGCAAGCTAAAATTTTAATAGAAACTTTGCAATGACAAAGTCACTGAGGAAAACTATTAGGTAAAAAATAAGGCGACAGACTGTCCATTCTCACATATCCTTTTCCTTTGGGTTTATATTTAAAAACAGCTATTTTTCCTCTACTGATTTAATCTTGAAGACTCCCAAAAATACCAGTTCTCTGTTACTAACCAACAAGTTACTCCTTGCCAAAAAATAATGCATGGACAAGAAAACCCTCGGGCCTACATTTTCATTAAATGTCCATAACCCGCATTTCATGGCCAGTGGGCACTGAGTTCTAGGATTCCTACAAAACTTCATCAAGGGACCCACATTTATAAAAGGATGTCTAATGGCCATGAAGTATAATTCAAAATTTAAATTTTTAAAAAAACCATGTGCTAAGAACTCCAAAATAAATTGGAGGTCTATACTTAACAGGGCATGAGGTAAAATACACAATTTCAGAATCACTGTGAAATTTTACAATTGCTTTTTTATTTTTAGTTTTTTTTCAAGGCCACCAAAAACTTTGGTTGCCTGTCCCCCCACCCCCCCACCCCCCAAAAATGGGAGTGATTACAATTGCTTTTTTAAAAATAAGAAACTTGCTAAATACAAAGTACTTCAATGGTATATTGTACATTATATTGCATGGAACATATTCCATTCTTTTTTAGATGGTTTCTGCAGTGCCAGGTGCTGTACTAGGTGCCAAGGATACAGAGAGGATTAAAACGCAGTTTCTTTCCTCCAGAAGCCCACGTTATGATGAAGGGGGCAAGTAACCCATGAGGCCCACTTTACGATCAAGTATCAGGAACTCGTCCTCTGGAAGAGTGATCCTTCTCCCGGCAAACGGAGAGGCTGGTTTAAATGGAGGCCCGGCTTCTCCTAATTCCCTTCCCCCCAAAACAACCGCCCACAATCGGGGCAAACGCAAGTCCTCAGGGAGCCAACAGCAGTTCACAAAGTCTGGACCAGCGGTTCCCAGCCTGGGCCGCACGTTAGAATCACCTGGGAGTCTTTTTAAAATCCTGATTCCTGGGCCTCGTTCCGTTTGAGAACCACTGGTCTGGACGGTAGCTGCTGACGGACAACAGGATGGACCCCGTGGCCCTCAATGGCGAGAAGACAGAACCATCAAGAAACTTGCTAAATACATAGTACTTCAATGGTATATTGTACATTATATTGCATGGAACATATTCCATTCTTTTTTAAATTGATTTCAGAGAGGATGGAAGAGGGAGAGAGATAGAAACATCAATGATGAGAGAGAATCATGGATCGGCTGCCTCCTGCACACTCCCCACTGGGGACCGAGCCTGCAAGCCCGGCATGCGCCCCTGACCATAATCGAACCGGGGACCCTTTGGTCCGCAGAGCAACGCTCTACCACTGAGCCAAACCAGTCAGGGCATATTCCATTCTTTGAACAAAAATAAAATAACCAGGTACAGGCTTATTTTTCTAAAAGGTAACTGACTCTGTCCTATGCTCTGAGTCCAGGCCAGCTGTCGTCTGATGTGACATCTAATGCTGACTCATTAGAATCACCTGGGAGTCTTTTTAAAATCCTGATTCCTGGGCCTCGTTCCGTTTGAGAACCACTGGTCTGGACGGTAGCTGCTGACGGACAACAGGATGGACCCCGTGGCCCTCAATGGCGAGAAGACAGAACCATCCCCGGCCCTGCCCTCCCCTCCATGCCCAACCGAGAGGAGGGGGAAAGGGAGTAACTGAATAGAGTAATAACCAAGAACCAAACTGTTTGCAAACTGGGAGATAAAATGAAAACGCACAATTGTTACTCTGAGACTTCAGAGAACTAAAGAAGGGGCCCTTCTGCTCTTGTCTGTTGCACAAATTTATCTACAAGCCCAACCTCAGTAGAGAAAGAAACAAACAGAAAGAAAGTAACCACACAAAAAAGAAAGAAAGAAAAAGAGCAGCC